ATATATATATATTACGTAATGAATATTAATGTGTAATATGTATGCATATATGTTATGTAATGAATATTAATGCTTCATATGTCTATATATAAAATGTAATTAAGATCAATGTGTCATGTGTCTGTATATATATATATTACGTAATGAATATTAATGTGTAATATGTATGCATATATATTATATAATGTAATTAATATTAATGTGTCATGTGTCTGTATATAGATAGATAGATAGATAGATAGATAGCTAGATAGATAGATAGATAGATATATATTAATATTATTATGTAATGCATATTAATGCGTAATGTGTCTATATATATATAATGTAATTAATGTTAATGTGTCATGTGTCTGTATATAGATATATTTTTATTATGTAATTAATATTAATGTGTAATATGTATGTATATACATATATTATGTAATGAGTATTAATGCGTAATATGTCTATATATAAAATTTAAGTAATATTAATGTGTCATGTGTCTGTATATATATATTACGTAATGAATATTAATGTGTAATATATATGTATATATGTTATGTAATGAATATTAATGCTTAATATGTCTATATATATATATTTAATGTAATTAATATTAATGTTTTATGTGTCTGTATATAGATTTATATATATATATATTAATATTAGTATGTAATGAATATTAATGCGTAATATGTCTATATATATATTATAAATATATAATGTACTCAATATTAAGGTGTAATATGTCTAAATATACATATCGATACAGATTCTGACTGGCTGAGAAACAGGGACCTCCTCCCAGCGGAATGGCGATGACGTGGTCTCCTGCACGCGGCTCAGGGATGCTGAAATTCACAGCCCAACACAGGGATTTCCCTGCCATTGCCACCACTATTTGCTTCCTCAAGCCTGGTTCCCCGTTACCTTCTAGGAGTGGTGTACATGATTTCAGTTCCTTGCTGCTGGTAGGCAGGATGAATGGCAAAAACAACTTTGGCACCTTGTATCAGAGCCACCACAATGGCTGTCCACTTAGCCAGATAACTGGACAAAAGGACGAGGGTGCTTTGGTCAGTGGCCTGCAATGTCTGTAGTAGGATTTGGGGCCAATCAAGTTTCAAACACCCGTTTACCAAAAGTCTGTTGATTCGCACTCGACAGTGCTCCAATATGCTGCAACTTGCAGTCCTCACGGCTGACTGGTGCGAGGCCTGCAGGGAGATCCTGAGCCAAACCGTGTGAATTCTCAAAGCAAAGCCAAGCTCAGGAAGTGAATATCGTATGGACAATGTATGGACAATGTATGACAATGTGACACAGTTAGACCACCTTGAAATCTGATTTTGGGGACACTTAAGAATTTGGCTTCACAGGAAGGAGAATCTCTAGTGTTTTCGGGTCTTGCACTGCTGGACAGGCTGGGAAAGGCTGGTACGGGCTGGGGCAGGCTGGGGCAGGCACCTGGAACTTCCTGGCCAGCAAAACGGTGCTTCATCTTGAAATGGCCAAAAGAAGATGGTTACTGGTTGCAGTCGCTGCATCTTTGACAAGTATCCACAACTCATATTCCCCGATTCCTGGCGACTTGTTGAAGTCACGAAACACCAATAATCACCCCATAAGTGTGTGACTTCGCCACAAGTCGGAGCCAGGAGCACACCGGCCGAGACTTGTCCCTGGAAGGTGTCCTGCACCGTAAATTCATCAAGTTTCTGTGCCCTTGCTCCGACACTACGTACTTTGTCTAGACGCAGAACTGGCAGGATGAGTTGAATGACAATTTACCCAGTAGCATCATGTAGCATTTGGTGCTTTTTCATGCTCCCTGTGAAGGCAAATCTGTCGCTGCAGTGAGGCTCCAGCTAAACTGGGCCAAATCTGGATGTTCGTCTCACTTCAACACTTTGGGCTGGGCCAGCAATGGCAGGTCTGTCACTTGACCCTCCGGAAGTGTGCTCAGCTCATGCATAAACATCCGAGCATAGACAATGGCACTCACCATTTCCTCAGTGTGTTCCTGCAGCACTGCAAAGAGATCTTCTGTTGACACCAACAACACTTGGGAGTTGTCCAGAACGGACTGAAATCGCCCCTGGTACCTCCAAGACTTCACCCACAGAGCTGGTTCCGCAATGTGCTCGCCAATCTCGAGAGTGTGGGTTTGGGCTATTGATTCCACAGGTAATGCTGCATTCTTTAAGAAGGCAGGCAGGATTTGATTAAGGGTGCTGGCCTTGGACTTCTTGCTCTCTGTTTCAGTTCTTCTAGGCATCACGGGCAGCAGGGAGTTACAGTAGTAAATTCCGATACCCTCCGACATCATGTACATGCCCTGAGTTTTTTTCGTGACATCAAACACGACATCACTTGCAAGGAGATAGATTTCGGAAACTGCCTCACTACAGAGATCAACGTCCATTGAGTAGTTCTTCGCCACCTCCCTGAAAAATGCATGGTTGTGAAGTATCTGAGAGCGTGCCTCCTGGAAGAGTTCGCGTAACATACCCTCTGGGAGTTCACGCAAGAGCTGCATGTGCCCATCCAGTTTAAAGCGCCGTTGCTCACGTTCAATGTACCTTCTGATCTGGATGGAGGATGCATAAGAGATCCCATGCAAGCCGCAGTACTTTTGCACTGACCGAAGTACCTGTGTGGTCCGAATGGTACTTCTTGTAACATTCGCCATGGTGTTTGTGACGAAACTGACAAAGACAGAGCCCGAAATCAAAGAGATACAGGTGCCAATGATTCCCAGCCATCGCTCTCCAGGTGTCTGCAGTTCTACAGTGATTCTCAAGGATGATGGTGGCAGTTTCGAGAGCGCCCACTCAAGGCTCCTTGAAATTTGCCTGCCGAGACCGGCAGTATGCAGACCCTCCGCTCTGACCCAGCCCTTTTCTGTGTCCCCCACGGCAAACCACAAGCTTCCCAACACATGGACAGCTAGCACCAGAACTAGAGTTGCAGATAGAAGAGGTGTTGCCAATGGACCAATACCCACCCGCATCTTGAATCGAGCTGTTTGGAACCTGTCCAGCAACCTCCTGACTTTCAGTATCTGGACAAAGCATGACAAAGCGAAATAGGCGAAGGATTCGGCGTGCTTTCAGGAGACGAAAGATGCCTGCTGGTCCATCCTCCAAGTCAAATGCCATACCCACGAAGTCAGGAATCAGCATTGTAATGTCAAATAAAAACCAGGATTTGAGATACGCCTTGGCAATTTCTGCGAGTCTAAAGCACAGGTTGTCGTTGACATAGGTAGCTGTGAAAAAAGATGCAATGATGTCCAGAGTCCAAAACGCCGTTAATGTCCATTGAAAAATATCTGCAATGCTCCGCTCCATCTCGGTGAGGCGGTAGAGGAGCAAAGGTGAAACACATATCTCTAAGCAGATTGCAAAAATTGCTAAGGTGTCCCAAACCATCTTGATCCTGGCATTTGGGTGAACAACATACCATGGCAACATCGTTCGAGTCTTTCTCCTGTGTCTGTCTCCGGTGTCCGTCCTCACAGGGAATGGCAATTGCTCTTCTGTACTTTTTGTTTGTAGGTGAAAAGCACTTCAAAAGCACTTCAAACATGATTCAATCAAACACCAAAATACCAGGTGTAGGGAAACTGGTGTCAGGTCATGAAAAACCTTTCCAACCACTAAAAACACAGTTTAGTTGTCCGTCTAGACTTTCATGACATGTCCAGCATTTTCCAACGGCTCCTTTTGTGAGACAATGAAGGGTTAGTGATGCTGCTGGCAGACATTCGCTTCTGTATGCGCTTCAGGTCTTGCAGTTTCTCATCGGAAAAGTCCCACTCTTCGCGAAGCTGGAAAGCGCTGTCTATGTCTCCGTCCTGAGCTCACACATATGGTTCATTCAACTAAGTTCTGGATAAATTGTAGTAAGTGAACACCAGAAACATAAGGGCGTTTGCGTACGATTCCCTTTGCTAATCATCACCTGTAGTGAAGTCGCAGTGAAGTCGCTATAATTCATCCAACTGGTATTTACAATACAAGCACATGTCAAAATCGGTGCAACAGCCTAGAGAGTTACAGGACAGTTTCTGTAGAGAATGATCAAAAACAAATGATGTTGACTATCTATATGGTCAAATATGGGCAAACATCTCGGAAGTTTAGAAGTCAAACTTCCGACAATGTGCACAGATGGAAAAGCAGAGGTGGGAAGAGTCAGAGACGAGAAAGGCAAAGAAAGAAGATCAGAGAAGAGAGAAGATCCAGGCGCGCGAAAAAGTAGAAAAGTCGCGAAACACTGCAGTTTTCTAATGTTTTGTGCCTCCCGGAGGGTCAAAAAGTAGGCTCGCTAAGGCGATGGGTGCGGAGCCATCCGGGGAGATGAGGGATGAAAAATTGCACGCCGCTGTGGCGCGAAGCAGATTTGGAAGTCAAGAGAAAAAGACACCTCGTCCGCTTCATGTCCATCCTTCTCGATTCGGCTTAGAGGTCTCAGGACAAAGACACTCAGAACTGAGAACTGAACTTGGACCAATGATACATGCAAAAAAAAAAGTAAAGAATTTGTGGATAGCACCTTTTCATAAAGTGCCCACCGTGTGCAGTACAGCTACCGCACTTCTGGTTCGTCCGTTTTGCTTCTTAGTCTTGAAATGGCGTTGGTTCAAGTCCAAGCATCTGCCTCGATTTTATCGTCGATCTTGTCGGTGGCTTTCCTCGCACGTCTCACAAGCCTACCAGCAAAACCTGCGGAAGAACCAGATGATTCCTGCGATTTCAAGTCTTCTGCACCCTCCAGGCAACCTGGAAGACCTGCAGCCTTGCCAAAATTTTGTGAAGACCGGGAATTTCTAAATGCTCCGGAATTTTGTGAATCCATGCATCCTAATCGAGATTCCACGAGATCCCTCGACCTCAAAGCCTGAGAGCCAAGGCCGCTAATGGAAGTACTTCCATACATCGGCATTCTGGATTCCACCGAGGCTACGGACTGGGTAGCCCTGTTCCTTCTTAGGTGAAAGATAGCAGCTTCGTGGGTGTCTCTGAGCTTCAGGTGAAGCGCCTGCAACAAACAGGGCGAAAAGAAATGCAGATTGTCTTTTTTGAAGACTGTTGGAGGAAAACGCGACCCGAAGTTTCTACAAGGAACAATCAAAAGCTGCTTGTTCAGAGGCAGCAGCACCTGCATTTGCATGAAGACCTCCTGAAAAGCAGGCAACTGGTCAAACGATGCCCGCGATGTCCGCAATGCTGATGTCTGCTGAGCCTCTTCAAGGGGTTGGGGTGTCACCTCCCCGGAAAAGGTGGCACCTCCGGCATCAAGAGTTCTGGGGAGGACAGGAGGATCATCCTCCGGTTCCAAAGCCTCCATGGATGGAACTGGACAGTGCGCTCCCTGTAGAGAGAACCCGAGACCACTTGAACCACCCAAAGTCCTGCAGCACACATATGTACATATTGTGTTCGAAACACATCTGCATCTTCAGAGTCAATTTGATCATTGTGTGTGTGTTGATCCAGTCAAAAAAAGAAGCCCGCAAGAACGGAATGGTTTCAGGAATCACAAATGCAAAACACGAGGACTCCACAGGAAGAATCTTCTGCTGCAAATGTTGAGCCGCACTCGAAACATGTGAAGATTGGAAGTCTGGAGCTCCAAATCACCTGGTCCAGCCTGGAAGATCTGGAAGCATTGTAGCCTGCACGAGTCCATCCCTAGGCCCTAGTCTCGATCCTGTGCATTTCATCAGTTTACATGTAAAAAAACCTCCACGGACCATCGAGAAAATATTGAAAGATTGTTGCTTCCACGGCTTCCACACTTGAATTATAGAGGCTCTAAGGTCTTTGACCCAACCGCATTCCTGTGAAATTGAGGACCATGTGGTGGATCTCACCAAGCAGCAAATCTATGCAGATCTTCCTACAAACAGGAATGGCAATGTCTACTCACGAAACATGGCATTAAAACACAACATGGCCCTGCTGCGCATCTTCAAGAATGATGCGGTCAAAGAGACCGAACCCCGGGCACAATTGACCCTATCTGCAGTAAACCAAGTCATGCTCCCATACGACTCTACTCCGTTCAATGTTTGCATGGCACGTGCAAGTCAAAACACACTTCCTGCCCGTCACTTCCTGTCCCTCACATTTGACACTACCCCAAGAAAATACTCTTATAGTCTTACACACAGCTCCTTCCACACAGGAAGGGTGGCCATGCAAAGTTTCTTCCACACAGGAGTGTTGGGTTGGGGTTTGGGCGAGGTTGCGGTAGGCTGTAGAAGGATGCATTTACGGACACAAACACAAAGTTCCTTCCACCTGGGAGCACTGCCTGACCTGCGCCGCAATATCTCGAAAGAACCATCGCAGCAACGCTTCAGAAAGGGGCCCAACAGTCCAACAGCTGATTTTGGAAACAAATTTTAAAAAAATAGCGAGCATCACCATTGACCCTACCCCAAGGACTCGGCTCGGGTCGTAGTCGGGTCGCGATCATATTCGCTGGAATTCACTGAGCGATGAATTGCCCCTGACCCCTTCCCAGCAGTGTCTGTAGTTCTTTACGCACTATATACATTCCGTGCAGAATCAGAACTTGTCCCTTCTGTTTTAGAAAGAATGGAACGCCCAAGCTATCGCTGCAATATCACCGGGGAGTACAATCAAAACCCTGCCACGTAAGCCCACCGTCCCGCACCTGAAGCGGGTGTTAAAACAATGGGCTCCAGATCAGCATGACCTGCAACTGTATCACTGGCAATGAAAAGCGTTGCCGCGCGGATGTGGGCAGGATTTTGGCTCATCTCCCTTGTGGGTAATTTCCTGAACAATCTCCAAAGACATTGACATCACAACACAGAGGTCAAGACGGCCCCTTCAACATCCGACAGTATCCCATCGTTTCCCAGGGGATCCCACCAGCCCAGGGAATGCTCACTGCAGCCATGAGATGAAGCGGCCAATTGGCCAATTCTGAATTTCGTGCACTGTGCCATCTGCAACATCACTGGATCTTCACTGAATCTGGAATGGACCTTCCGCCATCTTTCCACAAATAGTTTCTCTGATTTTATCACAGGACAAGTTCTCAAAAAAAAAAAGCAAGCTTTGCTTGGTCTCTTGTAGCGCTCTCTCCCAGGACATGCCAAGATATTGTCAGATTGATAGGCCATTCACTGTGCACCTATGGAGGATTCCCATACCAGAAATAGTCAAGGGTTGCAAAAACCTGCATTGGCGCGTGAAAATAGGTTAGTGATTGTTGGCGTTTGTTTCCCTATATTCCCACCAGTTGTTTAGGATCTATATGGATCTATCCATATCTACACAGTCTTTCTGGTGTCCAAAGGTGCTTTGACACAAGACTACTGGCGTTAAATTCGACCATACTGCCAGGTCACGCACCCCAGGTTGTCTTGGAAGCTGAGCCCGAAAAAGAAGCCATGGATATACAGCATGATACCACAAATCCATACTAATCCCACCTCCTTTGGCAGATGAGTCAGAATACCTCACGCTGATGTTGGGGAAAAGAAGTTGCTCTACCTTTTCAGTTCTGACCCAATTGAAAAGCCTGCGAAGTGATGATAATCATTATATTAGTCACCATCGTAGCTGTTGCGCAATCAATAATCAACATCATCACCATCACCTCCAGTACCACAACAAGAAGAAGCAGCAGGAAATGAAGATTATTGAAGTCGGCTACAGCAGCACTTGCATAGACCATGGTCATGGGTGCTATCTGTGAGTCCACTTTTCCTCAGTTGTATAGGGTGCTCTCTTTCAGCAATTCAGCTGCACACCCCGCTGCATTTCACATTTTCGTAACTCAGCCACTCTAGGGCCGTCGTCCCTTGAATTAGCTCCTCCCTCCTGACAGGAGCATTGCGCAGCACGCAGACCCATGTAGCCCCTCTGGGGCGAGCATTGTCTCCGTCTCAAAAGTCAAACATTTCTCCGAAACCCATCTCATCTTGAATATAGTGACATGTTTCAGATACTGCTGCTCGTATAGAAGGATACGTTCACTTTCAGAATTAGAACTGATGAACGAATGGACACAATATTGCCATGGGTTCACACAGAAGGTACAGCTGACGATTCTGCCAACTGAAAAACGCGGCTAACTCCTCGCTTCTGAGAAGTGAGGGAAAGTCACAACGAAGCCGCAGGCCCTGTACTGACCCAAAACTAGCTTCACTCGAATTCAGCCGGAGATGATTTTCAAGTCGCCTCGGGAACCCCCACACTCGGTCCAAGCGTCCAAGCACATTGTGATGCATCTGATGGTCCCTCTGTAGCTGATACTCTGTCTGGATGTATCGGAGAGATGTCGCAACAAACATTGCCCAGCTTCCCGGAAAAAAAAACTGTTTCGTTTCCTACCAACCTAATTTTTTCCATGATTCTCCATGTAATGACCAGTTGATGATCAGATATGATCAGTGAATCAATTGATGTCCACTGGAAACTCAGAAGAAAATAACCCAAAAGGTCAAAAAGAACTCATCTCAATTGGCTCGACCCATGGCATGTTTCACTCCCAAGCCTCGGCAGCTAGAGAAGTCCACACCTCTTGGAAAACCTGAGTCCCACCCCCACTTGTAGCTTTACCACACACATTGATTATTTATATAACCTGACAAAAAGAGGAAAAGAAACAAAATTGGACCAACAGATTTAAAAGCTGCTGGTGAATGGAGGATAAGAAACGGTGCGGGCGATGGTTAATTGGAGCTCTCCAGCTCCATTTTAGCAGGGTGGTGGGCAGGAATGGCCCACCGGACTGGTACGGTACAAATACGCTTGGAACTCTTCGAAGCTGGCATCGGGTGAAAGGCCGCGATACCATTCCTTGGTTTCAAGCTTTGTTCACATCTTCTGCGTAAATCCGTCTTGTGTTGGTACCACGATGACGTCCCATGATTATATATAAATCACTACAAATCACCATCACCATTAGCTACCACTTTCACCTGTTCATGGCAGCAAAAGTGTGGTACTCTTGCAGGTGGCATGCACCAGCTACTTACACTTTGCAACAATAGTGACAATCGTGTGCTTTGCAGACCTACAGAGCAGCTCCAACCAGATTCTTCACCAACAGCAAAAGCATGAGGATTTGTTTCCTGCAGGCTCCAACATCACGTTGACATGCTTGAGAGCTGATCAAGAGCTGAGGATAATCAGTTCCCGACTCTGTTGAGCTAAATATCCTTTCCCGACAATCCGACAACAACTAGCCTTCGACCAAGCTTCAGGGTGCTGTTTTATGCCAGTTTTCATTGCCCACATCACGTCATTGTAGCACGGATCGCCCCGCACTGCAGTTCGGCATTCCTTTCAGCTGTTTTGCTTCAGAGTTGCAGTCATTTGCGATCAGCAACATAGAGCAACCAGGGGAACATGCGATCGAATTTCATCAGTTACATTTTGCCTCGACCCTTGGTGCACTGCATCCGAGCCACCACGCTATAGTAGCCTTTGTCCTGGGACACAGGCTCTCCCTGGGTCTCTGAATAGTTCTTGCCATGTCATTACGAATCCAATGATCCTTTGATGACATTGCAAGGGAGAAGGGTAAAGATATGCCTCATACTGACAGCGAGAGTGGTTAATTACTGGAGCAAGTCGGGCTCTGTCAGCAACAAGTCAAGCTCTCACAAAAACTTGCTGCGGTTGTTGGCTCAACAGAAATCATCCACAAGTTCGCTGCGCACTTCAAATGTTGCCATTCCAATAGGTTCACTACGGGCAATATGGTCCTCGTAGAACTTCGTTTGCTTGAAGTCACACTCAGGTTCCGGCAATTCCGACTGACAAGAATGGGGGGCAGCAGCTGCAAGTTGCGTTCTGCTGTTTCGGTCTGTCCCAAAAACATCACATACATTCAGCTCCAATCGCAACGCTTGCTCGCTTACTTGGCGAGACCAACCAACAGTACGTATAGCTATGCAGCTTGCAGGGTGCTGCCTCAAACAAAGAATACACAAGGCCCCTGGACACATCCAGACACAGCTAAAACCATAAGCTTCCGGATGTCATGACCATGGCAGGGCCTCTGGGGTGGAATCCGGATACTTTTTGGCGAAGAGCTCCTGACCGTCAAGTCACTCACGTTTTTGACACAGCGTCACAGCGTCCAAAAGGTGTAATTAAATGTGCACAAAATGCCTATGTCGCATGGGTTTGCATACGCGGGCTTACGCACTACTTGCGCGACCATTATTTTGACTTACGCGAGGGTTGGGGTGTGAGACAGTTTTACGCGACACTTACGCGACTTGAATTGTCCAAAATGTGCTTTCCCTGAAAGGAATTGCTTACGCGGCCACTTAGCACATGTTGACGGGAATGCTTACGCACGGGCTTACGCCATGCATCTGTCACCAAAATTCTTCCGCCAGCTTATGAAACCCAGGGTTTCGCTTATGCAAGGCAGCCATATTACGAGGTTTTGGACCGGAGCCTGCTCACTTGGAATCTGAACGTGTTCCTAGGAATACCTGCTTATCCTTTTTATGACATACACAAATTAATATCATATATGATTTGTATCTACTGCAAATGTGTGTACCAAACGTATACAGAAACCTAGAGTAGTCCCGATTTCCACCTACTAGATCCTACTAGTGGGATCTGAGGTCAGACGATGTGTTCCTGTAAAGTCTGCACCCAAGAAGAGCTTCAGGACGGTCAGCCGACTGAAAATGGCCAATTTAGGATTTGGAAGGAATGCATGCTGCCGTAGCACACCACCAGACTGGCAACACCCTATCTGCAGAGACATGTTTGCAAACGGAAGAACCAACCTGCGCCAGCATGATGCGCCATTCATTGGCCAACTCGTCCTCACGCACACGAGGTGCTCTTCATGTTCCATGGTGAAAATGTTGATTGTCGTTTGGATCTTTTCCAGGGAAACTTTCTTATGCATCCCTTGGAAGATTGACCTTCTCGACAGCCACCTTGAAACATCCCCCTTCACAGTAAGGTTTCGGCACGATCAAATACTGCGGAGACCAACGGGAATCACCTGGGTCTTGCTAGACAGAGAATTAAGATTCAAACATTGACTATATAAAATATTGGGTTGTATATCAGTACAGCTAAAAACAAAACTGTATAATTTCGATCTGATATATGCATATACATTTGAATTATAATTTTAAATAATATAAATAATATATATATAATATAAAATATATAATATATATAAAATATTAAAAAATATATATAAAATATAAAACATATAATATACATAATATATAAAATATATTTATGTAATATATAAATATATATATATTTATAATATATATAAATAGTCAAAAAAGAAAAAATATATAATATATATAATATATATAATGTATAATATATATAATATATATAAAATATAGAATATATAGAATATATAATATATAAGATATATATATAATATATATAATATATAATGTATAATATATATAATTTATATAATATGATATATATATAATATAATAAATAATATATAATCTATAATATATATAATATATATAATATATATAATATATATAATATATACAATATATATTATATATACAATATATATTATATATACAATATATACTGTAATATATAGTTTATAATATATATATATTATAATATATATAATATAATATATATATATATATAATTTATAATACATATATATATTATATTAGATATATTATATTATTTAAATAATGAAATATAATACATAAAATATATGAAATATAAAATAAATGAAATATAATATATATATATATAATATACAATGTAAATAATTTAAATAATATATTTAATATATAATACATATAATACATATAATACATATAATATATATAATATATATAATATATAATATACATAATATATATATCATATATTTAATATATATATAATATATAGTATATATAATATATAATTTATATAAGATATATATAATATAAATAATTTCAATAATATATATAATATATAAATATAGAATATATATTTTATATATATAATATATATATATATATTAAACATATAATATATCAATAATTTATTATATTTAAATATATATATATAATTAATTTATACCATATATAACATATATAATATACATAATATATAATATATCGGTTTTATATTATATTTAAAATATTTATAATATATAATGAATATAATATATCTAATATATATATATCAAATATAATATACATTATATTTAAAATATATATAATGTATAACATATAATATATTTAAATTGTGATATATATATATATACATATAATAATATATAATTTACAAATAATTTATAAATATATATATATAATAAATAAAATAAATAATATATATATATATATTTATTATATATTATATATAACATATATATACCGTATATAATTTATACAATATATATAAAAAATGAATAATATAATATATTTACATATTCTATATATATAATATATAATATAGTATATAATATAATATTTATGTAATATATATATATATATATAATTTTATATAATATAATTTAATATAATAATATAATATAATATAATAAAAGATACATATATATATATAGTCACAAGATGGGCCAACATAGTTGGGCCCCAGGCCGGCTGTCGCGCGTAAGCGCTTAAATATATACACGTCATTATTCACTTGTTGCGCTCATCATTCATCACCCACAGCTCTCCCTGTCGGTCCCTTTTCGAATCCCACCACGTCCATCCTTTGCCTCGATCAGGTCCTGTCACATCGGAATGAGGCCGAGACGCCAAGGGTGAAGTTCAAACATCACTGCATTTGCCACTGGTAACCGAATGCGTGTCCTCGCATGTATTCTTTCCGACCAGACTCTACAAACTCTGTATAGTTCCGAATGCCGCTAAGTTCATCCTTGGTGAAACACAGGGCATCCTGCCCATACAACGTCTGCGAACACCGAATAGCGATTTGGGATTCCTGTGAATTTTGAATACTTGATCTGGAAAAAATTGCGTCGGTGGGATCCAAAGCAACGGGAGAACAAACATTTTGACATTCATTAAAGCATGTATGAATTTAAGTGAGTATTCATAATTTTTGCTGAATCTCAAAAGCCTCCACGGCTTCCGCCTATAGGAGCCTGACAAGGGGGTACGTGTACATATCCTAAGTGGCCGCGCATGCAAAACATATGTAAAACTCGCATGAAGCATACACATTTACGTTGGTGGAACGTATGTGATGCGTATGTGAAGCGTATGTGCAGCGTAAGTGAAAACATATGTGAGCCGTATGTGAAACATATGAAACACATATGACACATTAAAGCATTTTGCGACCCGATTGCGTTGTGTTTATGGTTTACTTATGTATACGTTTGGGAATCTATGTTGTTGCTTTTTTATGTCGGAGGAAAAATAAGACCTTATTTTGTGCAAATCACGCAAAATAAGACCTTATTTTGGAACGCGTGTAAAAAAAACATAAATAGAAACATAAACACAAACGAGAACGCAAACATATATTGTAACGTTTGTGTTTGTACATGTATGTGGTTTATGTTTTTATGTCGGGAAAAAAATAGGACCTTATTTTGAGCAAATAAGACCTTGTTTTTTTTCCTTACGTAAAAGAAACGTAAACATAAACATAAAGAAAACAGCTGGTAGCCGCAATTTCCGGATATGTAGGGAATATGTGTTTGTTTGCGTATTTGAAGCCGTTTATGTATGCGTATGCGCAGGCCAGTCCCAGACGGGCTCTATTGTGAAAGCCTTTGAAACCCACATACATTAATATACATTAACATACATTAATGTATACATGAATAAAAATGATCCATTTTTTTCTTTCGCAGATGCCAAAGGTCAATTGTGATCTCACCGGCATCCTCATAGGTCCAGGTGCAGTTGCCCTGTCCGGTGGGGGTTTGATCACAGTAGCCACCGGGCTCTCGCTCTTTACACCAGTCTGTCCATTGCGTGTAGTTCTTGGAAGGACATGGACCCGGCAGACTCCACCAAACGGCTCCCGGATAGTAGATCTTGTAGTTGGGGAAGGGAAAATGTCCTGCAATGAAACATCTGAAACTTAAGCCAGAGATTAGGCAGAAGCAAAAGATGCCATTGCTAGAATACGCGAATGCGATCGCCATTACAACAGCAAGAGCGGAATTCGGAAGAAAAGTAGTAGAACTTCAAGCATCACCAACTCTTGCACACTCGGAGAAACGTCTACATATGCCGACATTCGGAGCATGAACCACGCAATGGTATTGCGCTCCTAGCTTGTTGCATCCAACAAAATAACCATAGGTATCCCACTCGAAAGCTCCAACCACGCTACCGTTGTGCATGCCAACGTCGAAGCTGCTGTTGAAGGGGCCTGAATCCAACGATTCTAGCTGCACACTAAGCATGTTGTATGTAAACACACACAGTATGTTTCCCGAAATTCCACGTGTTTTCCTGCACAAGTGGGATCTCAACCCACAGACTCAGATTTAGCGCAAACTTGACGTACCCCCTGTCTTCGAAACATTAGCAGAAAGTGCATAGTTTTTGCCACCCGCCTTGACAGAGTTTGGGGCCATACTTGTCACGACCACACTCAAAGGGTCCAGTTGCTTGTCCTTTGTCAAAGGCAAAGCCTCAGAGCCACCATCAACAGTTGAGCAAAGCAACGTGTCTTGGGCAGCTCTCATTCCATGTGATTTTGAAACAAACCAGTTGAATAAGAAAGCAAAAGGTCATAGACCAATCCAAGGTCTACATCTAGATGGGCTGGGGTTCCATCTTTGAATTGGTTTCCTACGTCCTACCTTTACACTTCGGAAAGCCTGGGACCAGTCAACTAATCACAGCAAGAATCGGACACCAAAGTTCATCCCCTTCTCCCAAAGTGTCTGTGGAGCACGAGTCTGCACCTGGAACCAGAAAGGACCAAGGAAAGTGAGCACAGGGACCGGAAAAGAGATCTCAGAGGTCGGAAAAAAATCAAGCACCAATGATGGCAACCTTCTAAAATCTCCACCCATGTGTAAACTCCGAGAAGAGCAAAGTAACAGTGGTACCCCACCATCCTGCCTTCAGTCGAATGATTTTCCTGAGCCGCTCAAATCGTCCCAGGACGGATCAACCCAGGATCATCCCGGGATCATCCCAGTATGAACACACTCATAGAGCCACAAGATGTGCTTTCAAAAATTTTTCCCAACAATTGAGGGCATGAAGAACGGGAAGTTCAGGTTTTCTGCCACTCGTGGTCCAATGTTCTGTTTGGCAAGTCCAACCTCTCGTGTTTCAAATATGACAATCCAAACACATGCTTCACGAACATAGATTTGATTTCACGTGCCTGTCATGCGTATTACGGAAACTGCGAGTTACGTTACGGACTTTCACATTCTCACTAGCTCAAAGATCATTGTGTCCAGTTGGCATTTGCCTTGAGAGAGATCATGCAGTCACATTCCCACCAGCCCCGAGATCATTGTGTCCACTGAGAGATCATGAAATCACATTCTCACTGGCCCAAAGATCATGATCATTGTGTCCAGCTGGCTCGTGCCTTGAGAGATCATGAAGTCACATTCTCACTATCCCAAAGATCATTGTGTCCAGTGTGTTGGCGTAGAGTAGAGGTAGAGTACAGGTAGAGTAGAATAGACTAGAGTAGAGAAGAGTAGAGTAGAGTAGTGTAGGGTAGAGAAGAGTAGAGGTAGAAATAGAGGTAGAAATAGAGGTAGAAATAGAGGTAGAAATAGAGGTAGAAATAGAGGTAGAAATAGAGGTAGAAATAGAGGTAGAAATAGAGGTAGAAATAGAGGTAGAAATAGAGGTAGAAATAGAGGTAGAAATAGAGAGGTAGAAATAGAGGTAGAAATAGAGGTAGAAATAGAGGTAGAAATAGAGGTAGAAATAGAGGTAGAAATAGAGGTAGAAATAGAGGTAGAAATAGAGGTAGAAGTAGAGGTAGAAGTAGAGGTAGAGGTAGAAGTAGAGGTAGAAGTAGAGGTAGAAGTAGAGGTAGAAGTAGAGGTAGAGGTAGAAGTAGAGGTAGAAGTAGAGGGGAGAGGAGAGGAGAGGAGAGAAAAGGGAGAGGTAGAGGTAGAGTTAGAGTTAAAGTAGAGGCAGAGGAGCAGAGTCGAGAGGAGTCGAGAAGAGTCGAGAAGAGTCGAGAAGAGCCGAGAAGAGTCAAGAAGAGTCGAGAAGAGTCGAGAAGAGTCGAGAAGAGTCGAGAAGAGTCGAGTGGAGTCGAGTCGCGTCGCATCGCGTCGAGTAGAGTAGAGTAGAGTAGAGTAGAGTAGAGTAGAGCAAAGCAGAGCAGAGCAGAGCAGAGTAGACTAGACTAGACTAGACTAGACTAGAGTAGAGTAGAGTAGAGTAGAGTAGAGCAGGGCAGAGTACAGTAGAGTACAGTAGAGTAGAGCAGAGCAGAGTAGAGTAGAGTAGAGCAGCGAAGAGCAGAGAAGAGCAGAGAAGGGTTCCCATGGGGGGAGAGGAGAGGTAGAGATATAGGCAGAGGTAGAGTAGTGGTAGAGCTGAGGTAGAGTAGAGGCAGTGTAGAGGTATAGCATGGTATAGCTATTACACGTTTAGCAATTCAGCCTGTGCAGATTGCAGTGCCATGGCTGCACGAACCTTTCTCGAAGGGCACTTGTTCTCCTGTAGTGTCGTGCGATTCTGATTGTGTTTTGCAAGTCATTCTTGGCAGATGGCATTGGAACTGCTACATCATGGATGCGATTTGAATGTTAGGATTTGCACGAGACAGTGTGTTTTTCAGGTAAACGGAGGGTCTATAGCCGAGAAAAGTCGGCTCGCTTGCGCGACGGGTGCGGCGATCCGCGCTTTGCCGTCGATTCCTGTTCGATTTGCGCGCGCAGTGGAACTGAAGGTTCCAGTTGACTTTTTCTCTTCTTTGTGGACGCTGTGCTATTTTGTTTTGCATGTGCTGAGATACTTTGTGAATTGGAACTGCTGCATCAAAGCGATGTGTTCTACAGTAGTGTGTTGCAATTCTATTGTGTTGTGCAACTCAGTCTGTGCAGGTCGCAGTGGAATGGCTGCGTCAACGCTTCTCGAAGGGTGCTTGTTCTGCAGTGCTGTCTTGCGAGTCTGATGGTGCTTTGCAAGTCACTGTTGGCAGATCGCATTGGAAGTGTTACATCGAGGATGCGTTTTGACTGTTAGGATTTGCACGAAACATTGTGTTTTTCAGGTAGACGGATGTTCCGCTGCAGAGAAAAGTAGGCTCGCTTGCGCGACGGGTGCGGGATCCTCGCTTTGCCGTCGATTCCTGTTCGACTTGAGCGCGCAGTGGAACTGAAGCTTCCAGGTGACTTTTTCTCTTCTTTGTGGATGCTGTGCTATTTTGTTTTGCATGTGTTGCGACACTCTGTGCATTGGAACCGCTGCATCAAAGCGATGTTTTCTACAGTAGTGTTTCAGCAGCAGCGATTTATCTTCCTTTTTGACACCGATGATTTTTCTTTTAAAATTCAATTTTTAAAAATGCTTCAAAATCATTGTTTCTCCGCTTGGGCATCGAGATCCGGTTTTGGAGCTGCAATTTGTGTAGCCGTTGTGCGTAACTCTATTGTGCTTTGCAACTCAGTGTCTGCAGATCTCAGTGGAATGGTTGCACCAAGGTTCCTCGCTGCTGCGGGTGCATGCGGAATACCATTGTCTTGTGGAGCTCAGCGTCGTAAATCGTATTGTAGTGGCTGCATGATGGTGGCCAATGGTGCTTTCGGAAAAGGTTCTTCTGCTTTTTGGCGAGGACGATTCTTTCTGTGCAAGCTTCTTTGTGAGGCAGTTTGCTGTGTGCAAAAGCTTGCGTCTTGTGGTCCTGGCATGTTTGTTCGAAACCTGTCAGGTTTCAGCGGGGAAGCATGCAGCTAATCTGCTCACGCTCATGTTGGCATGTTTAAATAAGTTCCATGTTTGCTGGAAACCTGCATAGACGTGATCTGGCTGTCAGGTATTCAACGGGGAGCGTGCAGCTGTTCTTGTCACGCTCATGGTGGCATGTTTAAGTGAATGTTTGCTCGAACCCTGCATAGGCGTGATCTGGCTGTCACGTATTTCAGAGGGGAGCTGAACAGCCTCACGCTCATTTTGGCATGTTTAAGTGGCCTGCTTGTTCCAAACCTGCATAGGCGTGATCTGGCTGTCATGTATTCAGCAGGGAGCGTGCAGCTGTTCTGCTCACGCTCATGTTGGCATGTTTAAGGGGCATGTTTGGTCAAAACCAGCATAGACGTGACTTGGCTGTAAGGTATCAGCGGGGAGCGTGCAGCTGTTCTGCTCACGTCCATTTTGGCATGTTTAAGTGGCATGTTTAAGTGGCATGTTTGTTCCAAACCTGCATAGACGTGATCTGACTGTCAGATATTCAGCGGGGAGCGTGCACCTGTTCTGCTCGTTGGAAGAGTTGACAAGTGGTTTCACCATTTGCGGCAAGAGGTCAGAAGTCCCGGAAAAGAGCATGGAAGTCTGCCGCAGCTCCTATAGGCAAACCTTGTTTCCGGATCCTATAGCATTACACTTCTTAAACCTGGAAACTTCCGCCACTTGCCTTGCGCCGGTTCTACTTGTATTATACGGTAATTATACATGTATGTATAATAGATAGATCGATAGATACATAGATAGATTGATTGATAGATAGACAGATAGATAGATAGATAGTTAGGTAGATAGATAGATAGAGTATATGTGTGTGTATAGCTTTATAGCAAACGGTTTAGTTTTGATGCATCGATCATGTTTCGATATATCGCTTCAAAGCACTCTCTAGTCCCTGGAGATCTTTCACCTCACCTGTCATCATCATTAGGTTCCTTTCAGGCTAGGCACGCATTCTGTCAGGTATGCTTCTTAGGTTTCAGGTTAAGATGAAGCAGGCGGTGCCAGAGGTTTGAGTGAAGCTGGCACCAACGAAGACCTTAACTCTTTCCTGTGATATGAAAACGGGACGCCGTTTTCACGTACCTGCTTGAACAGTTGAACAAGCTTTTCTCCTCAGGTTGTTTAGGTATATTCCGACAGGTTGGATTTTCGATCTTCCAGAATTCATCGTTTCGAATGCGACGACCTCACGGTGTTTCAGTGTGCTTGCGATGGAAGGCAACTCAGGACATTAGGCGACGACGGTGACATCATTCACAAATTCCACTAACCATTACCCCACAGTGTGTCATGGGTGTTGGACCTGACTTGGTCACACCGTCGGTTGGTTACGACCAATCAGAAAGTGATGAGCGGGCATTTTCCCGTATGTAGAATGGAGAATGGATCTCCGAAGCCGTATGCACTCAGAGTGCATTTCAAGTGTCATGTGACGAAGTCAAGATTTTACACAGTAAAATCTAATCGCAGTAGGCAGTAGCCATAAGGCGAAGAAGCCATAGGACAGAAGTTTTGTCCAATTTGGGCAAAGTAGACATAAGTCGAAGTTATCAGCACTATGAGTGCAATGAAAGTTCAGTTTGGTCTGACTCTCAGCGCTTCAAATGTGTCTTGTTTCGCCTCACCTGTCATCATCATCAGGTTCTTTTCTGGCTAGGTATTCATTCTGTTAGGTAGGCTTCTAAGGGTTTAGGTTGTAGGTTAAGTTCGTCAGAAACGATTGGGAACATGATGGAGCTATTGAGACGACCCTACGCTCTACACGAGTGGGCCTCTTTCCGTAAATACAACTGCAATTTTCCATGGAAGATATGAGACAACCTGAGACAAGAAGCGCACTAATCAGAACTTGTAATGCTGTGCCGTAGCTTTCATTGTCCGTTATCTCATCAGGAGATTTTCAGATTCCCCGGGTAATAATCGGTTTTCGCGGTTTGCCCCATTTCGGGGCCATTGTGTGTGTATACCGTTATAGCAAACGGTTTAGTTTTGATGCATCGATCATGTTTCGATATATCGCTTCAAAGCAGTCTCTAGTCCCTGGAGATCTTTCACCTCACCTGTCATCATCATTAGGTTCCTGCCAGGCTAGGTACGCATTCTGTCAGGTATGCTTCTTAGGTTTCAGGTTAAGATGAAGCAGGGGGTGCCAGAGGTTTGAGTGAAGCTGGCACCAACGAAGACCTTAACTCTTTCCTGTGATATGAAAACGGGACGCCGTTTTCACGTACCTGCTTGAACGGTTGAACAAGCTTTTCTCCTCAGGTTGTTTAGGTATATTCCGACAGGTTGGATTTTCGATCTTCCAGAATTCATCGTGTCGAATGCGACGACCTCACGGTGTTTCAGTGTGCTTGCGATGGAAGGCAACTCAGGACATTAGGCGACGACGGTGACATCATTCACAAATTCCACTAAGTCATTACCCCACAGTGTGTATTATTGGTCCATATCTCAATCCTTGCGCTATTGAAAAAACAAGGTTCGTGATCCCGAACTTCCGTGGGGTTCGCTCTACCACTTCGTTGTGAAGGTACCACAGGACACCAGGGAGATTCGCAGCATTCACATTCCTGGGCGTGGCTGTTGTCTGCCCTGATGGTTGGCAAAGAAATCAAGAGATGAACAGCCAGCAGAGAAAAACATCTCCTGTGGATTTTCATGTTCCCATGTCAATCCCAAACAGCAGATTGAGTGGCCACAGCCACTGATGTGGTTGAAGAAGTGATGGTTGTCAAAAAAAGGATCAAGTGCCAAAGTGCAGACTAGTGCAGACTCAAGTAGTTCCGACCTTCAAAAGCGCACTTTTAGTGGTGTCGTTTGCAGCATGAAGCTCAAGATCTTGAACCACCAGTGCACTGATACATACTGATACTAGACTAGCAGTGACCGGCAGTGACGAGCATCATCGGTGGGTACACCTTATCTGAAACCGCTCTGTACATGTAGAAGGTAAAGAGCGGCGCAGAGCTCTCCTGAAACCTCAGCGCTGTGAGCATCGTGGCACCATGGCACCATGGCACCATGGCATCTAGTGACCTTTGGAAGAGCTACACTGGGAATCAGCCAGCCCGAGGCACATGATATCGTCGCTCCAAATGGACCTTGTGTCTTTTGTGGAGGTAGTGGTACCTTGGTCACAAGAGGGAAAAACTAGTGGCAAACTGTGAAAATTCTCAATGATAGGTCCACAAAGATCACAAAGATCAGTCTGCTTTGTGCTTCTGATCTTGGCATTTCTGCTACGAGTGAGATACAAAGTGGTAATGGACATGGGTGGAACCAGCTGACTCTTGGTTCTTGATCCCAAGCAGGCTGTCAATTTGAGACCAACAAACAAACGTTGCTAAGCCCTCTCCTTGGCCTTGATTGAGTGTTTCACTGATTGGTGCATAGTAGAGGAAAAGCATGGTACAGCAAAGTTGTAAGTTGAAAGAGTGACATTGAACCGATTGAACAGATATGTTGCTGTTTGACATGCCACACTCGCCATACTCATTGGCCCGCAGGCCCCAATTGGACGCCACCTTGGCGTCAGGTCCTATCTCCAAAATGCAGTCGCAGGTGCTGGTTGTTCTAGTGGCTGTTATACTCGTATAAGTTGAGGTGGTGATGGTAAAGTTGCTGGTGGTCGTGGATGTGAAGGACATGGTTGTAGTCCTTGTGAATGTGGTTGGCCGAAAGGTCGTAAACAGCTCTGCCGGCTCCGCACTGTTGTTGTCCGACACAAAAGGATCACCTGATGGCACCCAGTCCCTGCTGGTCCTTGCTGGTCTCCCGTTGCTGTCACTAGTAGTCGTTGACATAGGCCAAACAGCCCAAAGGATGTGCCCATTTTTTCTCAGCATCAAAACTCTTAACACTTTGAAGAATGGGAACCCATTCATTTTCAGATTCATCGCCGAGATATGTGGAAAACTAGTCACGAACTTGAGACAAGGCCTAGTATCTTCCCTCTCGATCTTATTTTTAGAAGGCACCCCACATCCTCAGATGTTTTCAAAATCGTTCAAGGCTCATCTTAGTAATTCCTTGGGATCCCTGCTTTCGGTGTCAATCCGACTCCCCACCTGGATCAGAACCACGAAGTCTAGGCTCTGCAGCAGTAAGGTACCTTGGGCACCATCAAAATCCACGGTGAAATGTGGTTGAATGCAGTGGAACGTTTGCTGTGGCCACAGTTTGAAGTTGAATTCCATTCAAATCATTCAACAGGTTTTCTGTGGACATTTCAATGGATCAAATCTTGGCAGCGTGGCTGTCGCAGGGCCTGCCAGGGCCGACCTGGCAAGCCCTGGGATATCTTCCGATATCTTTATGGATGTGTACGATTTTGTACTTTGTTATGTGGTCCAAAAGCGTCATGGGGCCAGTACAGTCCTTCTTCGTTGGTCACTCTAGTGGATCGCTTGGGAACCATGTCTGAATGTGATAGTATGGTGTATTTGTGTGTGCGCGTAGCTTTACTCGTGTGCTGCTGTGTTTCATGGTGATTGTGTAGAAGTACTGGGGCGTCCCACGCAAAAAGGATCAGACAGGAGTGTCGAGCATCTATTCTCATCTCCTGTACCAGATATGCCAGGAGTGATTCACATCAGGAGTGAGGACACGAG